ACATAATTGGAATTAATGACTGTGAGCTGTTCTACAGTACTAATTGAAGACACACAGAATCTCCTTCTTTTTTTATATAAAAAAGGTCCAAACGGGGTAAGGTTTATACATAACATATAATTTTTGTTTGTAACAAGTAAGACATGTTTAGTTTTCCATCAACACATTTGTTAGCATCAGAGGCATGCTGAAGTCCACACCAGCAGATGGTCGGTTGCAACAACTACTGATTATTGTTGCCACAATTGGAGAGGGTTAACATGACACGATATAATGTGCCTCTTGTGTTATCAAGTTCAAGAGACAGTAAGATAAGATTTAGTTGCATCAGCATGTAGGAGCTTAGGAAATACTAGCAATATATCCGTAATGTGAATTGATGGGTTTTTTTGTTGCTATTAGTATTAGTCCTATTTTTAATTTGATAAATTCCCCCCTATCTTTTGTTTAAATTTGCATATAAAATTTAGATATACGTGCACACACACACACCAGCAAAACACATACTGAACCTTACTGCCGTGCCATGACATTGCAGATATTTATGATATAGTATCAGAAGTACCTTGCAAAAAGATTCTTCATCTAAGTCAGCCTCTAGATTCTTAACTCATTATACAAATCTGGAATCTTCTCAAATGCATCCAGGTGTTCTACAACTTTCATGAGGAACCTGTTCCTCTAAATTGTTTCAATAAATAGCTATATAGAACTGACTACCAAAGATACCATAGGACAATATCAGAACATCTTTCAATGGTAGTAAACCAAAATGCTCATCCAATCCAGAAAACGGCTTATAGTAATCAGGAATGGTTTAAGAGCACAAGAAGAAACCTGCTAGATAAGCCCAGTATCCTGTTCTCACAGCAGCCAACCAGATGCCTTTGAGAAACCTGCAAACAAGACTTGAGTGCAGCCGCTCTCTCCCACATTGAACTCAGGAAGACTTGTTCCTGAATAAGCATGCATAGCTCTGAAGTGCTAAGGCCCCTCCAAAAATTCAGGTTCACCAAAACACTGAATTAAGCTCACAAATACATGGAATCCTTCTTATCTCTCTCTTTATCACTAATGAACTTTCCTCTCTCTCCAGGCAGTGTGCCTTCACGACTTCAACAAGATAGAATCATAGAATCATAGAATAGAATCATAGAATCATAGAGTTGGAAGAGACCACAAGGGCCATCGAGTCCAACCCCCTGCCAAGCAGGAAACACCATCAGAGCACTCCTGACATATGGTTGTCAAGCCTCTGCTTAAAGACCTCCAAAGAAGGAGACTCCACCACACTCCTTGGCAGCAAATTCCACTGTCGAACAGCTCTTACTGTCAGGAAGTTCTTCCTAATGTTTAGGTGGAATCTTCTTTCTTGTAGTTTGGATCCATTGCTCTGTGTCCGCTTCTCTGGAGCAGCAGAAAACAACCTTTCTCCCTCCTCTATGTGACATCCTTTTATATATTTGAACATGGCTATCATATCACCCCTTAACCTCCTCTTCTCCAGGCTAAACATGCCCAGCTCCCTTAGCCGTTCCTCATAAGGCATCGTTTCCAGGCCTTTGACCATTTTGGTTGCCCTCCTCTGGACACGTTCCACTTTGTCAGTGTCCTTCTTGAACTGTGGTGCCCAGAACTGGACACAGTACTCCAGGTGAGGTCTGACCAGAGCAGAATACAGTGGCACTATTACTTCCCTTGATCTAGATGCTATACTCCTATTGATGCAGCCCAGAATTGCATTGGCTTTTTTAGCTGCCACGTCACACTGTTGGCTCATGTCAAGTTTGTGGTCAACCAAGACTCCTAGATTGACCACAAACTTGACATGAGATCTTCCCTCACATCTCTGATTCCTCATTGTTTTTTTAGTTGGTCAGCTGATTCTGTGCATATCCCCACCAATGTCCAACACATGTCCTACCTCCTTTTCATTCTGGTTGGTCAGAAGCATGCAGGAGCAGACTTCCTATTGGACTATGGCGTTAGTGGGAGCAGAGTAGAGAGCCACATGCAGATTCATTCATTTATTTACTCACTCTGAGTGGCCATTCTACTACAACTGCTATTCAGTGGTAGTACCAACAACACGTTTGCCAAATTCCAGATTTTGCCCATAGGCCCCGAAAGATTTTGGATACCTGTCATGGTTGGTTCATTGTTTTTTTCCCAAAGCCTTTAACTTTAAAGGCTCCCTGCACAAATTCCCCTGTATTTTATTTGTCTGGAATTCAACCGTTCCATCCTCTGACAATAGGCTTTTAAGCCTGCAAATTTTAGCTAATTCTGCCAACAAATAGAAAAGTTATACCCATTATTTATTTCCCCAGTATAATCAATGGGGAGTCCTTCAGAAATCTGAAGCAAAACCAAAGCAAACGAGGTGTTGTCTGAATTAATCCAAAGTGAAGTGGCCCCCTACATGAAACAGGCTCCAAAGCCATTTCTTTTTCTGTGCACACCCCTAAGTTATATGGACAATTTGATGAGTAAACAATCCCTCATGTCAATTCAGCTTGGTCCCTTCTTTGTTACATTGGAGTTCATGGGATCTGGTGGTTTCCTTTAAGCCATTTTAACAAGGCAAACAGTAGCAATACCCTTAGAGGTTTAGCCACATGAGGTTTGCCATTGCCAATTTGGCAGTTTTGTGTCAAACTGAAAGTCTGAGAGCAACTCTTCCCCATGGAAGTGTATGCTGCTACCACATGGAGGAGGGGAGGGGAGGGTTGATACCCATCTAAGTCACACTCACAGTAGACCTATTGAAATTGATTTTAATGGATCAGCTCAGAGTATAACTAACACTGGCTATTTCCCAAGCAGACATGCTTTGAAGCATCCTTTGTTACTGAATATAGTGTATGCATATCCAAACTACCTCACCTTATTACACAAAGAAGGAAGGTTAGAATTATTATAATCTTATTAGTAAGAATCCTATGTACATCTTCACTGAGGTGAACACTAATGCTCTAGTTTGCCAATATCTGTTGAGTTTTGCTTCATTTATCTTGATATTTCAAAATCTATTGGTCAAGGATCACTGGCATTTGTCAGTGAATTGCAGCCTTCACAGTATAGACACTTCACAGGCCTTTAAACGATATGTTCCCTATGAAATTGGATATACCTTTCTCAGAACCAGTTACATCTGGTCCATATTTCTTGACATAATCAGAATCTCACTTGCTTTGTTGAAAGTGAAAATAAATAGATGGTCAATAAGAATGGCTGAAAAAATGCCTTTTTATGATTCCTGAAAACAGGAATAGCTCTGTTGTAGTAAGCAACATCCCTTGTTTCTGGAAACAAAGAAAGTGTTAAAAATAATGTTTGTAATATGCCAGCTGTCAGAGAAAATATCAGCACCATTACATTTTCTGACACTATATTCTTGACAATAAATTTCATGCCTCATGTGGCAAAGCATTTATGAGATTTCAGTCAATAACCAATGCACAGGTCCATATCCTCACCCAGAAAAGAGGGAGAAATTAAGAAGAAAAAACTAAAAAATAATAATGAAGGAGGTGTTATCATTTTTATTTACTAACATGTCACTGCTTATAGTTAGACCTGAATTAAAAGGGAAAAGAAGCAGGTCTGACTCTCAGACTGTACATCTCTCTCTCTCTCTCTCTCTCTCTCTCTCTCTCTCTCTGTGTGTGTGTGTGTCTCACATACAAAAGCTATGAGAAACAAAAACTGAATTTAGAACTTGCAGATGATGGTGTGTGACAGGTCTGTAGGTCTGAGACTTTTATCTCCTCTGACATGCTTAGTTCTATTTTTAATCACCAAGACACAGAAGACTGAGTCACAAAATTAAGGAAGGACAGAGCCCCAGAGCACCCAAGCAGGTATCATGGCTCTGACTGTGCTAAGCGTCATTCAGATGCACAAGGAAAGAGTTTCCTATTAGGGCTTTGCTTAGGAGCTATTATTAGTATTCAGATTTCTGTTTGTCTCAACTTCTATTTGTATTAGCAATTCTCTAAGCGGAGCATCAGGACCAAGAACAGGAAAACAACACTGCCGCTCACCCTGTCAGATTTGCTAAACGCGGCCCTCATCTTGGCTGAATGTCAGTATATCAAGTTCAACATTTAGCAGAGGCAATCATGGTTTCAGATTCTGGCTTGTTTTCACAAACCATAGTATAATTCTCCAAGTGCAGACATCATAAGGGATGGCAGTTAAGTTTAAAATACTGCAATTACCCCAAGAACTGCCTCTCCCTATGATTGACCCAGACGCTACGATCATGAGAGGTTCAGAGGGTGATAACAGAAGAATAAGCTGCTTCTTTTTTGCAGTGGCTCCTCATTTGTAGAATGCTCTCCCCAGGGAGGCTCACCTGACGCCTTTGTTACATACCTTTAGGTGGCAGGCAAAAACATTCCTCTTCTCCCAGGCCTTTTAAATGAGGCGGGGGGAGATTATTGTTTTAGTTTATTACTATGTTATGTGCTTTGTGTTTATATATGTTAGGTACTTTGTGTTTTTATATTGTAACCCTTCCTGTGATCCTCAGGTGATAAATAAAAATAAAATAGAAATAATAATAACAAATTCACAAGCTTTTACTTTCACTCTCCTCCTTGCAAGTGTAAAAGAGGAGAGGAGAAGGAGCCAAAGGTTCAGTAATGTAACAGGATACCATGTTCCCCCATTATATCTGAAGTGAATCACTGGGTGAGGTTGGAGTGGGCAAGAGGCTGCTGTCAGTGACTATATATATTAGAACAGTGATGATGGTGTCAGGCATATGTGATTGAAGTCTCTTAATAGCGTACAGATTAAAAGCAAGCACTGTGAGGTGTGCCCTGGTTGCAAGAGTGAGTCAAACACAGCATCACCCCAAGACTGTGGTGCGATATGAACATGAGAACCCAGACACCAATGAATGACCATTATTTCTCTGGATGTAACCAGCTTTATCCAAAAATATTGTCACAAAGAAAGGAAAGAGAAGGCAGGAACGAGGCAAAACTTACCCGTTTCAGCTGATCAACACCACCAAATATCCTCATCACGCCATCAATCTCTTGCTCCAGTCTTCTGGCCCAGTACTGCATTCTACAAGACAGGGGGAAAGAGGGTACACTGAGTCATTTAAAGAGGTACAAAAAGGGAGATGGTTACAAATCAGTGCCCAGGGCTTAGCTTGTACACTCGCCTCCTGACATTCCAGCTGTGGGCAGAATACCAAGCATGCCTGACCTCCAAGATAAGGATGATAAGCTTAGAATGATAAAGCTTATCAGATGACCAGCTTCCAAAATTGTAAATGTACACACACAGAACAAAAAATAAAGTCAACATAAAAGCTGCAAGCTGCCTTTCTTTTCTGGTAACAAAAAATTAACACAGATTAGGAGGAGCAAGATGGTCCAGCTCTTCACAATAACACCTTGTCTTCTATGCCCAACACTCCCAATAGCCTTCCTTCAAATAGCAAACTAAGTTGGCTGATGGCCTATCAGTTCGGAAGCAAGCAGAGCCACACAAAAAATTAAGATGCCCATGTGTGCAACAACACATATGCCAGACCCTGCAAATGTCCCTATTTTCCAGGGATGTCCCTGGTTTAGAGAAGCCGTCCCGGTTTCTGATTTCATCCCGGAATGTCCTGCTTTTCATTAGGATGTCCCTATTTTCATTAGAGAAATGTTGTAGGGTATTGAGTTATGCAACCCCCAAGCTGTCTAAAGGCAATCCTATATAGAGAAGTTTTTATATATATATATTTAATGTTTAATGATACTTTTATATATGTTGGAAGCTACCCAGAGTGCTGGGGCAACCCAATAAGATGTGTGGGGTATAAATAGTAAAATTATCATTACGGAACGGGACGTCCCTGTTTTCATCAGAGAAATGTTGGAGGGTACGATATGCTTCTGAATTATAAGAAAGAAAGAAATTTTAAACCCTCAAACTGCCGGACAGGAGCTTGTGAGCTTGCAGAGTGATGATGGCAGCTGAGCCATTGGCAGGGAGAGGGAGGTTGGACATAAGAACCCAAAAATTAGGCAGACTGTGCGAGTCTATCAAGTCTATGATTGAGAGCAGCCTAATCAGCCTAAATGTTTGTGTGTCAGTGGTGGGACAGGGGAGAAGGAAAACAGAGGACAGGAAAAGAAAAGTTGCTGGTTGGCCTTGACCTATAAAAGAATCTTTGGGACACAGGAGGTGCTGTGTTCTGAACCACTGAGCCTCTTGGGCTTGCTGATGGGAAGGTTGGAGGTTCGAATCCCCGCAATGGAGTGAGCACCCATTGCTCTGTCCCAGCTTCTCCCAATCTAGCAGTTCGAAAGCACACCAGTGCAAGTAGATAAATAGGTACCGCTGTGGCAGGAAGGTAAATGGCGTTTCCGTGCTCTCTGGCTTCTGTCATGGTGTTCTGTTGTGCCAGAAGCGGGTTAGTCATGCTGGCCACAAGACCCGGAAATCTGTCTGTGGACAAACATCGGCTCCCTCAGCCTGAAGTGAGATGAGCGCCGCACACCATAGTCACCTTCACTGGACTTAACCATCCAGGGGTCCTTTACCTTTACCTTTCACCTTTTCTAAAAGAATCTTTATTAAATGTCTTCCCCTTTCCCATTCTGCAGACCTGAGTATTCTGTGCTCAGTCCTTTGATTGCTATAAAAATGGTCCAGTTTGGCTAGCAGTGATCTAGAACTATACCACACAGGAAGAAAGTCTTGAAGGGCAAGGAGAAGTGTTTGATATCCCTTCTACATCCCTCTGGAGATGTCTGAGCCATTAAGAAGAGTACTGTTCTTAGTGAATGTGGATACCACAACATGCCATATATAGTTGCACATAATTAATTCAGACTTAGGTTTAGTCCACTGGGACTTGCCATAAAAGGTTGCAATTTATTTGTCAAGGGTGACAGCGACCCATGTTTCTTGAGAGTGATTTTTTTTGTTTTTGTTTTCTTTAATCATTTGTAACAATGTTGGGAGGGGTGGCTATTTTAAAAAGCTGATCTGGTGTTTCTGTTTCTGTGTGGCATACAATTAAAATATACACAGTTGAAGCATGTCGTTTTTAATATGCTGATTTGGGGGCGTTAAAATGCACCCGTGTACAGTTTCCTTGAGATGCAGGAAAACAAGGCTTCACAATCCATTGCACTGCAGTAGACGGCAACAGATTTTGGGCTGCCTGTAGCAGGATTGAACATCTGGTATTTCCACTGAGATTTATCTACCTGTAGAATCTATGTACATATTAACATATGTCTACCTCTTGCCTTTCTAAGAACACAGATTGCTATGTCCAATCTGGTCGTTGGTTCACCTTTCCTAGTATACCTTCGTCCTTGAAAATCACTTCTAGACTACCCAATGCATGATAGCTTATTGTATCTTATTATATGGAAGACCACAAAAGAAGCAGCTTTTTCGGAGGATTAGGCTGACTCAGTTTTTTAGTTTTTTTTAAATGATACCTATATTAGTAGGTCCACTCCTTGCTAATTTTAAGTTCCAGGTCCCACAGAGTTTAGGACAGCCAGTCCTTGCTTTATCTAGGGGGGAAACTATACTCACTTCTCTGTTTCTAGAACACACCTGAGAGGTATTCCTAATGGTGGTGAGGTGGAATTAGTTAGGCAGGATTATCACTCCTCACCTGCTTTCTCCTCACGCAAGATGTAGATGCAGCCACAGCCTTCCCCCTCTTTTCTATTACTCACGCTGAAGCTTTTAATCCATCAAGAGCAGTCTTGAGGCTTGCAGCCTCTTATAAACCTCACCCTTACTCACATGTAGCCCATCCTGGCTGATCATTGGTTGGGCTATTCATGAGTAAGCAGCAGATCTAGCAGTTTCTTCCCCATAACTTAAGCAATAGGTGGGGCCCTAAAAATCCATCCTGATGTGTTCTGTAACAGCTTCATGGAACGAGACAAATGCCCATCAAAATAAAATTTCAAAGAGAAATCGCGTCCTCCCTAAAAGAGGGCATGTGTTGCAGTGAGACCTGGAGACCGACCTCCTGTGTTGTGGGTGGGTTGGATTGGTTAGCCACAACACCCAATTGGTAGGTCCCTCGATGTTGGGTTCAATCTGGCCAATGGGGCTCGGTCTAAACGGATCGAGGGACCTATATATACCCAGAGCTTCCTCTTTTGGCTCGTGCATTCAGAACAAGCTAACAGCGTGTCCTCTGTGTAGCCATGAGACTTACCTTCAACCATAGAATCATAGAGTTGGAATAGACCACAAGGGCCATCGAGTCCAACCCCCTGCCAAGCAGGAAACACCATCAGAGCACTCCTGACATATGGTTGTCAAGCCTCTGCTTAAAGGCCTCCAAAGAAGGAGACTCCACCACACTCCTTGGCAGCAAATTCCACTCTCGAACAGCTCTTACTGTCAGGAAGTTCTTCCTAATGTTTAGGTGGAATCTTCTTTCATGTAGTTTGGATCCATTGCTCCGTGTCCGCTTCTCTGGAGCAGCAGAAAACAACCTTTCTCCCTCCTCTATATGACATCCTTTTATATATCTGAACATGGCTATCATATCACCCCTTAACCTCCTCTTCTCCAGGCTAAACATGCCCAGATCCCTTAGCCGTTCCTCATAAGGCATCGTTTCCAGGCCTTTGACCATTTTGGTTGCCCTCCTCTGGACACGTTCCACTTTGTCAGTGTCCTTCTTGAACTGTGGTGCCTAGAACTGGACACAGTACTCCAGGTGAGGTCTGATCAGAGCAGAATACAGTGGCACTATTACTTCCCTTGATCTAGATGCTATACTCCTATTGATGCAGCCCAGAATTGCATTGGCTTTTTTAGCTGCCGCGTCACACTGTTGGCTCATGTCAAGTTTGTGGTCAACCAAGACTCCTAGATCCTTTTCACATGTACTGCTCTCAAGCCAGGTGTCCCCCATCTTGTATTTGTGCCTCTCATTTTTTTTGCCCAAGTGCAATACTTTACATTTCTCCCTATTAAAGTTCATCTTGTTTGTTTTGGCCCAGTTCTCTAATCTGTCAAGGTCGTTTTGAAGTGTGATCCTGTCCTCTGGGGTGTTAGCCACCCCTCCCAGTTTGGTGTCATCTGCAAATTTGATCAGGATGCCCTTGAGTCCATCATCCAAGTCATTGATAAAGATGTTGAATAAGACCGGGCCCAAGACAGAACCCTGTGGCACCCCACTAGTCACTCTTCTCCAGGATGAAGAGGAACCATTGATGAGCACCCATTGTCTTGGTAATTTCTTTCCATTATTCTTCCCCTTTTCGTTAATGCTTTCTTTAAATTTTCCCTTTTGAGTTGTCCTTCTCTCCCCCCTTCCTTCTCCTTCCCCTTTTTCTAGTGGGGTTTTGCCCCACAGGTGAGTGCTCCCGATTGCAGAGCTTGCCGCTGCCTGTTGATCTCTACCCACTCAGCTCCCCTTGCAGCGGCTGGTGCCCCTGTAATTTGGCTGCGGTTGCAGCTTTGGAGTTTCTTAGCTAACGCAACTTGGGCAATTTGTAATTGTCACTCTCTGGGCGCTTTCATTCTGTGCTTTGAGTAATTTCGCTGTATTGAGAGTTCCCTCTCCATTGCAAAATTGATTTCTGTATGCCCCCTTTGAGGAAAGGCTGGTTGAGTATTGTCTAAGGACGGGAAACCCCCTTGGGTTCCTTTTGCAAGGAGAGGTCATCCCTGCCTAGTTTTGGCGGGAGCGCCATCTTAGTCGGCCTGGGTCCCATTGGTTTTGTGTGAAATGTTGATTTCGTACACCCCCCATCCAATAAGGAAGGGATTGAGATGCCTATTAAAAGGAATCCCAGTCCTGCTTTCCCTTCTAAGAGGGTGATTAGAGGTCCGTCTCAGTCACTGCATTTAGCTCCAGCCCCTGTGGTCACTCAGCTTACGCTGGATCGCTTGAGTGCAATTATGGCTAATATTGGTTCAGACCCTGCTGCCATGGCTAGGTTCAATTCAGAACTTGAGTCGCCAGCCCAGCAATTTGGGAGGCAGCCTGATTCTCAGCCTGGCCCCTCCACGTCTTCCACTGTTTATGAGGCCCATGGTCCATCAGATGCCCTGCAGGAACTGATTTCTTTCCG